CACAGGAGCCCAGCATACGTGGCTGGAAGTGAGCTCTTTGAAAACTCGCTCAGGCCTTTCCCTGGCTTGCGGGCATTTCCAGAATTTCCTTGGAACTTGATTTGCAAATGGAAATTTGAACCTTTGAACACTTCCCCGTCCCCCCGCCCCCCCTCCCCCCCCCCCGCCCCGCCCCTCTGCAAAACTTGTGCTTTCCTTGCTTTTTTTCTTCCCGTCTTTCTTTTGCTCTGGGCGCAGTGGTATGAGCTGGGCTTGCTTCCAGAGTCAGAATCTATCAGGGGTTTGAGCTCCAGGTCTATCATCGGTTAGCGGTAGGACTCCAGGCAAGTTCCTTAAGCCCTGCGGACCTCCGTTTCCTCATTTGTAAAACAGGGCTATCGTGAGGATTCCTCCGTAATAGAGCAGGAAGTGCCTGGTCCAGCACCTGGCCTGTAGTGTGAATGCCCAGCACCTGGCAGCTGTCATTACCGTCCGTGGAGCGTGACCTGGGGGTCCTGGTCTCTTCTCTGCTTCCCTGAGTAGAAGGAGGGCAGTGGCAGACCGGCCTTCTCTCTGCTTGCATGCTGCCTGGCACTGGGTAGCCACCACATAAATCTCTCTTAAGAGTAAGCTTGCTTCTGAAGAAGGAAACATCAGCCAGGCATTCAGGGGTGGGCGGGAGCACGCCAGGCAGGAGGCACCGTGTGGCCAGAGAAGGGCAGGACGGGCCCCGGGGCCGAGCGGCGTCGCGGGCGGGAGAGCAGAGGGCACAGAGGGCATGGTGGCGGCGAGAGGGGGTACCCTCGGAAGGAAGGACAAGCCGTGCCTCAAGCAGAGGCGTGGCACCCTGGGATGTGTGCTCCAGAATGGCCACTTTCACAGCCACAGGCGCGGGCACCCGGGAGGTAGCCGGCCTGGAGGCGGGGCCTAGGGGAGGCACCTCCCACTGCATCTGGAGCCGGAGGGTGATGGCAGCGGCCCCTGGCCTGGACACCTGTCAGAGAGGGAGGAGCGGGGGCCAGCGCCTTTGAACGATGGGCCGGTCTCCCCGGCCCACGCGGGGCCGTGGCGGTTTATTTCTATCTTCTTTCATAGCGGTGGCTTCAGGAAATAGGACTGATCCCATTCTTCTAAGGGACGCCCCAGCCTCAGCCTTGTCTGGGGAGCCTGCTGGCTCTGTAGGGCCCTTCCCAGCCTGGGTCCTAATGAACCACCTCGTAACGGGCCCCACTGCTGTGTCACCTTTGAGTGGCACAAGACGCAGGCTCCAGGGCCTCAAAGGAAAACTCAAAGGTGACATGAGTCAGGGATTCCAGGGGCTTGACCCAGAAGGTCCACACCAGTCCCTGTCGGGCCTTGCCTGAGAAGTTTCCAGCCTGGTGTGTGATTACAGTAAACAGTTTGAAGGGCCCCTACCCGATCCACGAAGGCCAGGCTTCACCTGCAGGTGCAGGGTTTGTGGGAGGAGGCAGACGGCGCTTTTGTGGCTTAACGGGCCCTCCAGGCACCAGCTGCTCAGGCAGGGGCCTCTGAGTCCCACAGGAGGCCCAGGCCGCTCAAGGTTGAGGCCTTTTCAGGCACTCCCTCCCCGCCCCCAGTCCAAGTTCTTGTTGCCACAGCTGACCACACATAACCAGCCATTTCCCTTCTTGAGAACTGACCTTGTGCATCTCGTGTGCATCTGAGTTCTTTAGAAAATAACCCCCCCCCCCTGCTTTTTCCTTCGGGGCCCTGCATGCCTGCCTTGGCCCCCACTGCCCAAATATGCCTTCTCTCATTTCCCTACAGCCTCTGTTGTGTATAGTTCATGATATAACTCAACTGTAAAAAGTTAGCTCTGCGTGGTTGCCATGAATTTTACATGAATCACATTTAAATCGATAAAGTCTGTAGAATGAATCAAGTTATCCTTATTATGAAGCAGTGGGGGCCACTTTAGAGGGGCTGTGGGCCTTTGAACACGGCACCCCTCATCAGGGCGGAAAAAGTGGTCCGCCGGTGAATTTGCACGGCAAAGCACATAACCTTTCGAGGCTCTGGGCTCCCTCGGTCCCCGGGATGCCTTTGAAGTTTCTACTTTCTTCTTGGGAGGTGTGATCAAGCAGAACCAGAATGAAAGTCAGATTTTCCATGACTTGTTTCTTCTTTGAACAGTTGCTAATCTTTTTTTTTTTTTTTTTTAAGCTGGTAATCTTTTAAATGACATTCTGTTTCAAATGTGTGATCTTGGGATCTTTGATGTAAATAGCAGGAAAAAGTGGGCGGTAATGTTATGGAACGTGGAAAGCTTGCCTTTTCTAGGCCACGCTCTAAGAGCGAAACCCAGAAAGAAGAAAGACAGGGAGGGTGGCAGGAAGAAAGGGGAGCAGAGAATGAACCAGAAGGAACAGGAAAAAGCCCCCGTAAAGGTTGGAGGCAGTATGGGCCCTAACCCCAGCCTGGCCATATCGTCTTCTAGCCCTGGGTCCTCAGCTGCCTCCGCTTGCCCGTCTTTACTGTGATCGGGCCTGGCATCTTCTCTAGGTCAGCTGTGTGCCCAGTAGGACCATCCTCCGGAGCAGAGGCCTGGCAGTCGGCTACATGCCATCGGATGGTCAAGAAACACAGAAGCTAGAAGCATGGCAATGATCTAAGGCTGGCCCCAAAGGGCAGTTCATGGTTTTCAGTAACTTCTAATTACACAAATACCATACAAATACATTGTCCTTGTGACAAAGCAAAACTAGGTGATGCCTGCCCTCCAGCCCCACTTCCCCAGACATAACCAGGTTTTAGTCAGGTGTGTGTCCTTCCAGAGCCATATCCCAAGAAGAACATAGGGACCGATAGGAGAAATACAGGACCACTAAAGTTTAAAAACATTTTGGGCACCTGGGTGGCTCAGTCAGTTAAGCATCTGACTAAGGCTCAGGTCAGGATCTCACGGGTCATAGTTCAAGCCCCACAACAGGCTGGCTGCTATCAGCACAGAGCCCACTTCGGATGCAATGTCCCCCTTTCTCTCTGCCTCTCCCCTATTTGTGCTCGCTCGCTATCTCTCTCTCTCTCTCTGTCTCTCTCTCTTTCTTAAAAATAAATATTTAAAAAAAAATTTTTTTTATTATGAGAGTATTATTGGCTCCTGTAGAAAGTTTAGAAAATAGAGATTCCTTGCAATCCTACCATAACCCAGAGATAACCATGAGTTTGTGTTATTTACACGTAACGAGGTCATTCTGTGCATGCTGTTTGGTAAGCTCCGTTTTTCACGTCCTCGGCCGTCCTTCTCAGCTGTCCTTGTCAAGGTGCCCCCCCACCCCGTGATGGCTTGGGTGGTACACCTGTGAATGTTTACTCCGGATGACTAGTTGTGCCCCTTATTGACAGATGATGCTAATTTTGCACTTGTGTAAATGATACAAAGTTTCCTTTTAAAATACATAGAAGTTAAACGGGAGGGACAGATGGAACAACCATGGAAAAATCCTTAGGGTGGTACGAAAATGAAACACGGTTTTAACAGCATTTTCCCCTACTGACTCTGTAATACCCAATGATGAGGGTCTGCTAAGATTTCGTTCCTCTTAATTGGTGAGTTTTTCCTTATTTAAGCCCCCTACACACACACTCTCTCTCCCTCTCCCTCCCTCCCTCCCTCTCTCTCTCTCTCTCTCTCTCTCTCTGTGAACTTCCCTATAGCTGAATTCCTGCGAGGCCACAGAGATTCTAGACGTGGACTTGGAGGTTCAAGGGCAAGCCCAGTTGAAGGGTTTTCTTTCCCGGTGGCCAAGTTGCCCTCCAGGAAAGCCGTAGCTTGGAACAACAGTGTGAGTAACCCAGGGCTGTTTTCCTGATTTAAATCCACAGCTGTAAGGAAATGCCTCCCATCACTTACCAATCCTTATCTGAAAGATTTAACCAGTCCCCTCACCCTTGCCAGATTTCGTGCTCTCACTGTGTTCCGGGGGCCTTTGTAAGTGCCTTTTAATATTTCCATTGTGTGTGTTAATCTTTAATTAGAATTTGATGTATCAGAAATATTTTTAAAAGGCTTAGCTCAATTAATTTCTTCCCCTGCCCTATTATTTTACGTCTTTCTTTACTTGAATCATTAATGGCAGAGAGCACTGACATATAGGACCCAGTTCAGGGCTGTTGTAATTAACTCCCAAGGATGCTGTAAGCAATCCGTCAGACCCGGGATGGCATTACAGCCTCGTGTATTTACTGGTGTTTTTTCAGTGTGCCCTTACTGTGCCTGAGAACCTCGCCAGCTTTCTGGCCCCGGTGGACATCTGTTTTCTGAAGGCCCTGTAACATCTTGCCCCAGTGTCTCAGAGTAAGATAAAGGAAAGGGTTTTGTGTTCCATTTTGTTTTCAATGAGCAGCGGGCTGCAGGTTCCTTGCATGCTCATGCAGGTGCACGAGCCTCTCCAGCAAGGCTGAGCTCATTGTTGATCGGGTGTGGCCTTGGCCAAGGCTGTCTCCCCCCAGCTGGGCCAGGGGAATGGGGAGGGGTGCCAGCCTCCTCAGGTGATGCTAGAAGGCTGTGGTCTGCAGCTTCCCTACAGAGCAGATTCCCCATGCCCGGCGCGTGCCCCGCACAGGGTAGGTGCCCCGCGCCCGGCTCGCGCCCCGTACTGCTGAAATCAGACTGCCCAGAGTGGGAGCTGGCATCGGTAGTTTTAAAAATCCCCAAGAGATTCCATATGCAGCCAACTTGGGAGCCATCGCTGTAAGGTTTAGCTGAGGCCTCTCACGGTGACCATCAGGATACTCAGTGCCCGCTCGCAAACCAAAACCCACCCAGTTTAGGGAGACGGCAGAGCGTCTGAACCACGTCCTGCTCAGCCTCCTCTCTGTGGAAGGGACCGTGAGCCTGCCTGCCGGGAAGGTTGCCTGTGCACACCCGGGACAGGAGGACCACAGGACGGTCTAAACAGCCACCAGGTATGTCCACCCCGGCCTGTGTCGCCGCCGAGTCCCTTTCCCCCTGGGAAAACTGTCAGGCTCCTCAGCAAGTTGGGTGGGCTCGGCTGCAGAGCTTCTCCTTGAAGAGCCAGAAGTGTGGAGCCTCAGTGTAACCTTCATAATCGTGTTGGGGCTCTGTCCACCCTCTGCCGGGCCTGCCCCTGAGTCCAGAGTCCTGAGACCTGCGCTGACCGCCGGTGCCTGGGCGCGTCAGGCTCTCAGTGGCCCTCACCGTGAGCACCGGGTCTCCTTCCGTGGTTGATGTCTTCGTGGCAGCCTTTCCAGCTGTCCTTCCAAGGGCTAGAAGTGTGGGAGGAACTTGGCAGCTCGTTTCTCCCACGGGCCTCTCCTGCCCCTCTGCTGCGCCCAGCCCCATGTGGAGGCCAGGACGCAGAGACACCCGGGCAGCGAACACCCAAACCCTGTGTGTCCTCAGAGGCCTCGCCGGAGAGAAGCAGATGGCCCAGGAGTGAGCCGAGGGGTGCCGTGACCGTGGCCGCGCCATCATCCCCAGTGCTCCAGAGGGCTGGGTGGGATGTGTCCCTCTGTGGGATCTGCAGGGGCCATGGGGCTGACACGTGGGCGCTGAGGCTCCCACGCTGAGTGAGCCGAGAGCCATCCTTTCTAGGTCCGGGAGCTCCCCGGCCCAGGGTCACGCCGTCTCCTGTCCCCCGGCTTTCCCGAGACAGGTCATTTTCACACAGAGCTTCTAGCTGGAGTTGAAGCCAGGCCGTTTCTCACAAGCCCTCACAGTGCTCGGGACTCCTTTGTCCTTGGTTCCCACTGCCTGCATGCAGCTGTCTATTCAGCGAGTGACGGGCACATTCAGTGTAAATAAAACTAAAGGTTCTGCCCCTCAACCATACCTGGCACATTGAGAAGCTCGGGGTCCTGGGTGGTTAGCACAACAAAGAACGAACATTTTCATTTTATTTCATTTTCACTGGAACAGCTGCCTGTGGCTGGCGGCTCCTGTCCCCAGACAGTACGCACGCAGGACGTTTCCGTCCGTGCGCGAAGTCCTGTTGGGCAGCGCCGTCAGGTGGGAGAGGGACGGGCTCAGGAAGCAGGAGGAGCACAGGTTTGGGGAGTCTTTCGGAATCCTGCTCCTGCCAAGCCGTAAATACCCCCGTATGTGGCCCGGAGGCAGGTGAAGCAGTGATGACAAGAACCACAATGTATGCTGGGCACTGACCTCCGCTGGCTTATTCCCCAGTGCCTGGGAGCTAAGTGCTGTTATCGCCCCTATTTACAGATGGGGAAGTGGAGGCCCAGAGCCCGCACTGTGTGTAAACACCCAGCACGTGGCAGGCAGTAGAAACAGTGGGGCCTGTGATTTTTGGGGGTGGGGCGGGGCGGGGCGGGCGGTCAGAGGCATGGCTGCACCCCTGCCCAGCGACCGGGCAGGTCTCTGCAGCCTGGCCGTTCCTTCCTCTGCCTGGGCTTTCTTCTTTCTTACCAGGGGACAGCCTGGCGAGCTTTCAAATAAAGGCCTTTTCTTTGCTTCCCTCTTGCCTAACACATTTGAACCTCTGGCGTCCTAGCTCTGAGAACATGCCCTGTGCCTCAAGCTTAAGGAGGCACGGGGTTTTCAGCACTGGCCACGCCGTGGCAAAGAGGAAGATGTGTGGGGCTCTCCGCTCCTACGGGCTGGGCTTTCTCGCCACCTTCTGTTCCCTCCTACCATCCTGCCAAGATCTCTGTCATTCTTGAACCGTTCCCTTTCCCTGGTGGCGGATTTCCTCTGCCAAGAGATGGGCAAGGTAGCCAAAGGCAGCGATGTCCGTGCAGCCCGATCAAAATGAAGCCACCGCAGCTGTGTCTGGGCACGGGTGGTCAAACACCATCTCCTCCGCTGGTCCGGATTCACGTAACTGAGCGCAGAGCGTGACCCACAGAATCCTTTTTATACGACCGGGGGTTGGTTTCGAGTGTGTGGAGGAACTTGGCCCTGACTCACAATGGGCATTTCCTGCCTGGCGTCCTGGGAACTGACCTTTACTGAAAATCATAGCGTCACCACCTTGGGCAAGTCAGTAACCTCGTCAGGGTCTCCGTTTCCTCATCGGCAACCGGCAGGTGATAATAGCACCTTCCTCCTTGGACTGTTTTGAGGGCTTAGCACAGAGCCAAGTGCTTATAAAAATGTTCTACGAGCTATAACTGTTATTATTTGACATTGGTATAGGTGTGCGTTTGTAAGTGGAACTTTTGGAAAAAGTCTTTTTGCAGGATTTGCCAAAGGAGCTTTTGAAACCAATCTTTTTTTTTTTTTTTTTTTTTTTTTGGTAATTTTTTAATGTTTATTTTTAAGAGAGAGTCAGAGTGCAAGTGGTTAAGGGGCAGAGAGAGAGAGAGAGTGAGACACAGAATCTGAGGCAGGCTCCAGGCTCTGAGCTGTCAGCAGAGAGCCCGACGCGAGGCTTGAACCCACTGGCCATGAGATCTTGACCTGAGCCGAAGTCAGACGCTCAACCAACTGAGCCACCCAGGCGCCCCTCGAAACCAGTCTCTTTAACTGTAGGACTTGCAAATGAACTTTTGAAAAGACTGTACAGCAGGTTAAGCATTCCCTTCCCATTGTGTTAGTACAATTCCTACTAATAGATTTATTTCAGTTCTTCCTTTGTGGTCTGTCTGCACTCACCAGACTATAAGCTGCATAGGGCAGGGACCTTCTCTCTCACCCCTGCATCCTGAGCACCTGGGACTGTGCCTGGCACAAAGCAGAGACACAGTAAATATTTGTTGAATTAATAATAATAATAAAAAAGACATGACCGGGAAATCTTGTGAATTCTCTGTATGTCCTTGGTGAGCCCTTTTTTCACGTATCCTGTAAGACCCAGACTGGCTCTTCATTATAAACTTCCAATTAAAGACCCGAGTTAAGTTTCAGTAAATAATCACAGGGAAAACCTTCAGTTGCCATGACAACCCTCTGTTAGCTCCCATTTCCTGGACATCTGTTTATAATCCTTGGCGGCATGGCTTGAATAAACAGCCCTTGCTGACCAGCCCGCAGCCTCTGGAGCCTTCACCTCCCACCCCGGCCCCTCTGCCTGTTCCACACACTGCAGCCCTGCCGGACGGAAGTTTCTCAAACTCACCTTGTCCCCACCTGTCTCTGATTCACGACACATGCCCCCCCCTTCTGCTGACCCCACATCCTCCCAGTCTGTGTGAGGACCCGCCCGCCTGGAATAACCAAAGTAGAATGAATGAGTTCCCCTTCCTTCTCTGATTCTTCGTGAATTTACTGGCGTCGTTCCAAGTTCCCTCCTCAAAGAAGAAAACCTCGGAGGGAAAAATAGTTGAGATTCTCGATTCTTATTTGGCTCAAAACAGCTTAATGATGTAAAGATGCCCAGGTGATTGGGTGCGTGGGATGATACAGAGTCGGGCTGATCAGACTTGGTTTCGCAGTAACCGTATCCCTTTAAATCCCGTGCCTTGGAAGTGTTGTCCTAGGGCCAAACGTTTTACTGATACTCAGTTTGAGCACGAGCGATTAAAAGCATAAAGCAGGCAGTTTGGTGTGTGAAGTATACAGCTTTTGTTTAAGCCCCAAGGTATGGCTTGTCTCCACCAGAGGCCTCCCATATTTTACTTTAATGTTTGATGTATACGGAATTCCCACAAGCTAATTAAAAATCAGACTGCTCTGCCGGTAAGCATTCACTCTGTGAACTAATTTCTGCCAAACGGCCGTAAATGTGTCCCCTGGTGTGAAATTTAGACCTTCTTTCCCATCAGAAAAGAGCCGTGCGGTTTAGTCCCCGTCTCTTCATTTGAGGGAGAAGGAAACTCAGGCCCCACCCAGAAAGGTCAGTTGCCTCCACTGAGGCCCCGAAGCCTCCTCCTAAGTGCCCTGCTGGGATTCTCCTTGCTCCCACCCCTCTGTCCTCACCAACCCCCGCCCGCGCTCGCTGCTCTGAACTCGGAACAATCGTATGGTTCCCGAGTGCGGGGGGCTCTTCTAGCCCCGGACGGGCATCCTTAGTGCTCATGGCAGCCCTTCCGGGAAAGTGCCGTTCCCACCCTGCTTGCCGGGTGAGAGACCGGAGGACCCGAGGGTAGGCAGCAGCGTGCCGGGGTCCCCCACCCGTGCTCCTCGCCGTGAGGCTGTGCTGCTCTAGGATGCTAGGAAGCGTCCAGAGAAGGGACAGATGTGGAGGGAGGACCCAAGTGGTAGGCAAGGGAATGCGGGCCATTCCAGCCAAAATAACGCAGAGCCTGGAAACCCCAAAGGATTAGCAGAAACCGGGAAGCCTGTGCAGGGCCAGGAAGGGTCAGAAAGTATCTGAGGAGCCGGCCAGCCCTCCGGAGAGGGGCCTCAGCTCGGTTCCGGCCGGTGTCTGGGCTTCTTGGAGAATGCGGTTCAAAATGTCACCTCCTGCAGGAAGCCTTCCCTGATTCCTCTTCTGGCCTTTTTCCCCCCCTGCCATGGCCTTTGTCAAATTCTATGCAATTGTTACTTGCTTGGTCTCCCCAAGTGAGCAGGAGCTCCTGAGGGGGCAGGTCTTGTGTATCTCTGTGGCCTGCTTGGTCAAGCACAAGGTCTAGCACCAAGGAAACATGCCCCAGAAATGTTTGAATGGAAAGTCTGAGACAGTGAAGGGAAAAGCGGGTGTCAATGGTTCCAGCTACGAAGCCATTTTCTTCTTCCACAGCTGGCCTGGTTGCATCCAGGGTCTGGGTCGACTCTTAGCAAGAGAGAACATCCCCCACCCAGGAAGGGCCTCGAAAATCAGACTCAGAGCCATGGACCAGAGGAGTTCTCTGAATTCTAGTCAGCACCCGTGGGTGCACAGATGCCCCACAGATGCCTTTTCTAGTGGTATTAACAGTATAAACCCCACAGGTTTTGGGGAAAATGCTCTAGCTCATATTCCCTGTCAGGAGGACTCTCCCTAGCCCAGGGAGGGACAGTCCCTTGGGTCAGGATCTGCTCACCAGAATACCCTTGTGCACTTTTCTGATGAACTGTCAGGGGAAAGAGAAGATTTGACCCTGTCTCCGAGAACCTTCTATCTGAAGGGAGAAAGATGTGCCCACACAATCATGCTCGTGGAGAGAAATCGCAGGATTTTTCTGTACCTCATCT